CGATCATGCCAAATAGTGTAATCTAAAAACCGTGCTTTGATAGCAGCATTAGCCTCAATCATACTGACTTTAGCATGGTAAATGCCAGTAGATACGGCGGGTATAGTTTCAAAAACTTGTTTATGGCCATTTATCATTTTAGTGATGATTAAAAACTCTTTGTTCCCTTCATCCTGAGTTTCGATATGGAAACCATTCAATCTTATGTCTTTGAAACTCAATAGGTTTCTCTTAGAACTGGGTGAGTATAAGGCATCAGAGATATCTAGATATGTGCCATTTGATAACAACACATTAGCTTGGCCATGGCCCTCTATTAGGCTCGAACTACCCGCTATAGTGCTAATGTTTGCGGTTTTGATTACTAAATTTATGAAGTAATTCTTGTCTTTTAGAATGGTGTGACTCGATCCACTATCCACAATGATATCCATATTGTCTTGCATATCTTTTCGCCAAATGGATTTCTGACCGGCTTATGATCTGGGAGCTAAAGACCACAGATATCTACTGGAAACTCCTGAGAATGATGGCCAGAAGAGAGGACGAACAGCTGCTACAATGGAGGAACCACCGCTTGGAAAAAATCACCCGCTAAGGTGGGACAGCGCCGATTGTTTTGAGTCTTGAGGGCGCGTCTGGTGTCGGATTGAGGAGCGGTTTTCACCACTAGATTCTTCTCTTCCAGGGCTTCAAAATGATATGTAGATCGCCTTCTAACTCCTTGTATTTTGAGAGATATGATCGTTTGAAGTTGAGCTTCGTGCTGATAACGTATTAAGGGAAAAACTCTAATCTTATTATTTCCACAAGCAGTGTATATATACATTATATAACTAATGTATCAGAAACCCTAATGGGCCATGAGACATTAACCTGATGGTTAATGGGCCGGTTACTAAAAGTCCATTTGTTTATAACACTCAGAACATTTGTGATAGTCATATTTCTCGGTAGTTCGTTGAAAAATTTAACAAATTGTACAACATTAATTTAATAAATAAATAAGTAAAAAAAATCATGTCATTGAAAACACGTGTTTTTCATAACATAACAAATTCATAACAATTTTTTTTCTTCTAATTTTTTTTTAGTAGATTCAAACTTGTCGCATAACCGTCACAACTAACAACAAGTCACAATGAATATATGGAGCGTAAAGCTTTATTTGATTATTAAGGATACACTACACATCAATATGCCATAACATTACAGATAATAATATACTTTAACAAACAAAAATATATATATATAGAGGATACATGGAGTTCGAAAAATAAACCAAAGTGGTAAATACAATATTTGTGAGTGCCAAATGCGATGTATATTTGTGAGTGCCAAATGCGATGTATATTAATTTTGAGTCAAACTAATTTAGAAGGTTGACCTTTGAGGAAGTTCTTGCAAATTTTCTGCCAAAACTCTCTGTCTGCTTCATTATTCTCTAATGTTGCCTTTGACGTTTTTGCAAAGTCTTCCTGCATTTTTATTAATCTGTCATCACGTATTTCACAATGCAACAACGCATACAACAACAAAAAAATGTCCAGTAGATTTGTTTACTCTATGTTAAATCCAATTTACTAATTTTAATTTCTAAGATCATTTCTTATTCTAAAAAATAAAATCTAATTTTATCATGAGTTAAATCTTAATGCAAACACCGCATAAAAATTATGTTCTAATAGAAATCCAAATTGGTTATAAATTATTTTATTCAAGAGTTTACGTCTAATCTGTAGCTTTATCTTTGACCTAAAGCTTTTAAAGTTAAACTTTAATGAACTAATTAAGAATAAGGAAGAGAGAAACAAAACCTTAATGTGCCCTCCGGCAAGAACACGATCAAGGATATCGATCAAGATGTCACGGTTATACTCAGGATGTCCCTGAATGCAGAGGAAGTTATCTTCGATTGAATACATCTCTACCTCGTACATGCTCGAATATGCTAACAGTTTTGCATTTTCCGGTAGCTCCAAAACTTCGTCTTGATGACATTTTATGATCCTCAGGTTCGCCGGAACTTCTTCACCAAAGTAGTTTTCCGGTGCCACTGCCTCTTTCACGATGGTTATGTTGCCGAGGCAAAGCTCTGGTCCTTTCCTTGCCCTCCCTACTTTCCCTCCCTTGACTCTAGCTATTAGCTGGATATTATCCGGTCATTATATTAGTATACGTAAATAATACTCCAATAATTTTTTTTTTTTTTTTGCTAACCCGAGGAATTCCAAACCGAAATCCAGGTTAATCCTCAAGACCTATTATATATTATTATACGAAATATGAGGGTTCATATCAAATTGTCAACTGCAAGATCGAAGCAAGAACCATTAAAAAAGCTATAGTTTGTCCATACGTTAAAAATCCAATCAAGAACCATTCAAAGAAGCTATCTAATTTTCTACTCATAATTATATGATCATATTCATACGCATTGAAATGAATCATTCAAAGAAGAGCTAAATAATTTCTTAGTCATAAAAAACCATTTTTAACTCTAAACGTAGAAGCATATAAAATTAATTTATACTCAAATAGGTATTTCAATTTAGGTTTATCTAAACACTCAAACCATGAGCATAAAACATCAAGACTTTGATACTGTCAAGTCTTAGGAAAAACTAAATATTTACCTGGTGGCCAAAGCAGACACCGAGGACTTTCTTCTTCATCTCATCAAGTTTCTTGATGATATCACAGAGCTTCAAGATCCAATCAGTGTCCTGAAAGGCATCATGAGAGCTTCCACTGATGACAAATCCATCGTAATTCTCAAGATCCTTCTCATCGGGAAACTCACCGTCGACGACTCTGTACGAGTCCCATTGCTCTCCTTCGTCGCCAAGCAAAGAAACAAACACGTTGTGGTATCCTCCGTACGTCTTCTTCGCAAACTCCGAATCCGGCACCCCAAGAAACAATAAGTACTTCTTCTGTTCAACCATTTGATCTCGCAAATTGTGTCTATGAGAGAGAGAGAGAGAGAGAGAGAGAGAGAGAGAGAGAGAGAGAGAGAGAGAGAAGAGAGAGAAAGAGTTTGAGAGAAGAATGGAGAAGAGAGAAATGAAGAGTGGATATATTTATAATGGTAACGGCATTCACCATTCACGTCAACTCTTTCGAAAAACTTCATGCTAATTGTTTATGCTTCTTTCACGTTTATTTTATTCATTTTGTTCAATTCAAAAAACAATGGTAAGATAAAAATATTGATTATTGGTTATATAACTTATAACCAAAGAGTGGCTGTTAACTATTGTTGACCCCATGAGAACGTCATATGTTCCAAATTTTATAAAATAGTCTTCAAGGCAAAAATTTGTTTTGTTATCTAATAGTGACCTTAGAGAACTTGTTGAGTTCAAGGGAAACTTGAAATTATAAACACTATTTAGTCTCACAAACATATCTTTCTATTGTTTTATCTTAATAAATATGTAGTAATTAAAATATCATAAGTCATCTAATCTCATGATACAAGAATTCATCAAATTTGAAACTTGGTATAGAATTGTTGACTTTGTTTTCTCCATATATATGTGATAACATATAGGTTGTATATTTTAATCACTGTTTATTCACTTCCAATTATTAATTACTTATGAAAATATGGACGTAGAATTTTCTGTCATCCTTATATTCCCGTCATATTCAGATATTCTAGCCGCCGTTAGTCGTTACCACATAGACGCTTTGTTAATGAATTACTTGTGTTTTACATTTGTCAGCAACTTTATTAGTTCTTTAATTCTATCAACATCAAATAAACTTACGGGAAAAATGATAATCAAATATATTTTTTATTCGATTGATTTTCGGTTGATTTTCTCCGCAGCCTTCTTTTCGTCTATTTGCGTTTGTCTTTTAAATTTATGTAAAAACAGTAATACTTGTGATAAGTATCATATAATAAAATATTTAAGAAATAATTTAATCGTTAACCAAATGGCCGGTTGATATACTAAAGTGTATAAATATAATAATACATGTGGTCATATTCTGTTCTTGGTCATCTGAGGAAGGATTCTCAATTCAACATTTTAGGTTCCGGTCCTCGTTGAAATTTTTATCATTCAACTTTTAACAGATAAAATAAATAATTTAAAAACGCAATATTTTGATTGAAGTCTCTAGTTTTCAATTCATTCATCACCGATAAGGTTGTTTGACCAGACTGTGGACCGTTGGGTGGAAATGTTACGGCAAAGAAATTTGGATTCCGATGGCTTGTCAAATTGTTTGAGAGCCTAGAACACTTTTTTTTTTAACAAAACCACAATGTTATTTACCTACCATATCTTTCAGGATATGAAATAGGCTTTTACTCTCCAATACAAAATATTACACAAAAACATAAGAGACTGTTCAAGTTAAACAGTTTTTGCCTCAATTAGATTATTACACCGATGTGGTTTCGCTACATTGAGAAAGAGAGAATAAATGTAATCCGAAAGAACGACATGTTAAAATGAGGCAAAATGTTGTGACATGACATGTTAACGTAAAGTCAAAAATCAATTGTTGGTGTTGAACTCACAACAAACTTAAGTGTTAGTGGTCTAGAGTGGTTGAAGGATTCATTCAATATGCCCTTCTTTGGCAAAGTTCGAGCCTTCTTACTGCAATTTCAATCATCTTTGATGACATGTAAAACCTTTAAGTATCAAGAAAACATAAAATTTTTGTAGGTCTCGGAGGATTATTATGGGCTTTGGCCTGAGATATCCAAGTTAACAAAAAAAAAAAATATATGGTCTCGTCATTAAACATTTTTTTAGAAAATAAATGTAAAGAAATAAAGTGAAGGTGGCATGAAATTTGTTATAAAGTAAAGGGGAAAAAACATAGTGTTTGGGCTTCTAAAAAGTCTTTCTCGATCCCCAATTCGTGGATTAGGGTTTTAAAAGAGCGATTGCTAGCTACTGTCACCACATCTAATTCCGACTCTCGCCGTCTCCAGGATTTAGTATTGCCCCAGAGAAATAGGTTTCAAAAACATGGCTCAGCTTCCTGGTCAAGCTTTTTCTCTTGTATGTGAACGAAATCAGTGTTTTGCTTTTGATTTAAATAGATATGAGTCATATTGTTATATTTTCCATAACATAACATGATGATGGTATATTATATATGCAGGGGCCTCCCGTTTCTGATGATGTTTACAAGTACTTGGAGATGATTAGAAAAAGCAAACCGAATATCAGAGCCATACTACTGTGGGTTCTACGTTCCGGACCAGATTCCGGTATAAAATCATTCACAACAAAGAAAATAGTTTTTGCAACTTGGACAAAGAAAAAAAAGCATCCAAGGAAAGCTGCAAAACCGAAATACCGGTTTGGTTTTTTGCAACGTCACCAAGAACACAAGACAGCATGGGCTATCATAGCAGCCAAATTGATAAGCATTGCAAGGTTTTGTGCTGATAAAAGCATACAAAAGACCTTCACCGACTATTCAGCTCAATACCTGCTCGATTTCGTTAAGCCCCAGCAGGAACAAGTGAAAGCAGAAACCAGTTCTTGTTGCAAGATTAGCAGTGTAGCACAAGGCATATTGTACGCAGTCGAGAATGATATACCAAGACAAAAGGATTGGAGTTTCAGAGGATGTCGGAATGTGGTTGAACAATATGATGGTCCCCGTTTCTCCGTAAAAGGACAAGTGCAGTCATTGACTCTTACTTCGGCATTGATCTGCATACAATATCACCCTGTGGCCGCCAAGTTGCATTTGTTTAAGGCCTACGAGGAACTTGCTCAAGATGTAAGTCAAATTATTATTTTTTTTTGTGTTGTGAGCAAGATACTATATTAGAATTTTTTTTTTTTTTAATCTGTAGGAAATTTATCGTGGGCCGACGGATGAGAACTTGAATTACATTGGAGAAGAAGATGTGATGATTTATGAGACTAGAATAGTGGAGGATGAGTTGGTTGCTGTAGTGAAGCTACCATGCGGAAAAAAAGAATATTTGAATGTCTCAGTAGATGTGATGCTAATCCTTGCGCCACGAGATGATGATGATGCTGATGGTCTGCGCCTAAAAAATTTGGCAAAGGCATGCCGTTTGCTTAAAGACTGTATGGCTATACTCCCCCCACCAAGAACTAAATAGTCTCCTCAGAGGCTGCTGTGAAATCTTTTTGCGATGGTGACGACTCAAGATTGCATTGTCTTATTGTTTCTTTTCTTGCGTTTCCTGGATATTGTCGACGGAAAGGAGACTTTTCTTTTGAATTGCACTTTGAATTCATGTTTCTTCCCGCTGGTTAGACCTAAATCTTGTTTCTTGCTGATCTCTCTCCAGAATATGCTAAATCTTCTTCCTGTGTTTTGATTTGAATGTCTTCTTTTCCACACACAAAAATAAAAAGAAGAAAACATAGTGTTGGCCCAAAAGCTTACCTACATGTTATAAATCAATAAGCCCGCTAATAAACTTCGAATGCTCGTTACTTACTAGTACTGGCACTCACTACTCACTAGTATATTTGTTTATGTCAACAATTTGTCCCAAATCTTGATCATTGTCGTTTTTTTAATTCATTTTACCATTTCGTTTATCTTATTTTCATCTTACAATATTTAATCTACCAAAAAAAAAGAAAAAATATTACATCATCTGTTTGTGTTTTGGAATTTCTTTTAGGTGACACTTTTTGTCTTTTTTAGATTTTTTAATTGAGATTTTGATTTGAATTAGCGTTTGTGAATTGGGGCTTTGAAGGTTAATAAGCCTAGAGACTTTGCAACGTCTTACTCACGTTTATACATAAAATAGGGATATCGGTATTACTTCATTAGGATACTATATTGTCCGTTACCATACACGATATATAAACTTTACGTGAGCACGTGCGAGCAAAAAGGTACCATGTTCGCAGTTTGCCTGCTCGGCCGGGCCCATAAACGTTACCATTTTCAGCTCCTTTTTCCAATATTTAAACTCGAATTCTCTCGATTTTTTTTTTTGTGTGGAAATTCTCTTGATTTTACCAAAATGGATTACACTGAATTTGGTGATGTGTCACTTTTCTAAAGTATTTGGAGCAATTTTGAAAAATTATAAATTTGGAAATGCCAACACATCTAATAATTTTTTTTATTTTAGATACCACAATTTTAAAAAAACTATTACCAGTCCATACTATCCTTAATAAAGCTTACATAATAGAATCCTACGAAATATATAATTCATGCATGCAGAATTGGAGACTAGAAGATCAAGAATGATGTTTTCTATGATTTAGGATTTCTTAAAACAAAAATCATATTACATCCTCTCGGCTCAGGAGTGAATCCTCAATCCATTGTGCAAAAATTGAAATTACTTCACCATGGATTTTTTTTTAATACCACATTTTTAAAGAAGGAAAAGAAACTATTACCATACTATCTTTAATATACATACATAATAGAATCCTACGAAATATAAAATTTACATACTAGAAGATCAAGAATAATGTTTTCTATGCTTTTAGATTTTTTAAAACAAAAATTACATGTTCTTCAATTACATCCTCTCGGCTCACGAGTAAATCCATTGTGCAAATTAAAACTGAAATTACTTCACCATGGATCCTTTTTGGGATACAACACCGACAGGCTCCTGATGGCAACAAATGATGTTGGGATTAAACACAATAAGACTTTGTTTTGTTGTTTACTCTCTTTAATCTCTCTTTCGCTCTCTCGTTGTTGTTCGATCAGTTTGTGTTTTGAAGAAACTGAAAAGAACTTGCAGAAAAGTAAAGAACATAGAAAGTTTTTAACGACTTCGAGTCATAAACTTGAACCCTATTGTCGCCGGGATCTGATGCCCGGAATCTACTAGAATCACTTTAGTCTTATAGTCCATATAATCACTTACTACAAACCATGCATGCTTTAGTCTGTAGCCTTATAGCCGACCTTAGAGAATAGTCCAAATTTTGACTCTGCACCATTTCTTGTTCTAGTAGAAACAGAGCCTTTACCAACCATCTCTGCTTTGAATCCGTTTTGGGAAAACCTCACGTGCGCGCCACGTAATTTGTGTTTCTCCTCAAATGGGCTTGTCGGGTTTCATTGCTTGTGGGCTTCGTCACTTCTGATCCACTTAGACGAAACCTTCTCTGTGCATTAGAGTCTTTGTTGTACTTAGTCTTGAGGCTTGATAACTCTTATCTTGACTCAAAGACATATCACTCACAAAACTCCACCTTGGATTTGAGTCTCTGATTCTAGTTCTTGGATTCCACCCGGATTTCCTGATCTTTATCAGTTCTTTGAAACTTGGAGTAGCTCCAGAGCTTCTTGGAGCTTCCCCACAGGTAACACCTTGGTAAGTATATCAGCTGGATTGTACAAGGTTGATATCTTGGTCACCTTCACCAAATTGTCTGCAATCAAGTCACGGATGAAATAGTACTTCTGTGCTATATGTTTTGTTCTATCATGGAACACGGCGTTCTTTGACAGGGCTATAGCACTTTGGAAGTCATAAAACACTTCCACAGGTCTTTGATGAAACCCCATATCCTCCATCAGACCTTTCAACCAACCGCTTTCTTTGCTGCCTCTGAAAGTGCCATGTACTCGGCCTCCGTTGTGGATAATGCAACAACATTTTGTAAGTTTGACTTCCAGCTGATTGTACCACCTCCTGCCGTGAATACATAGGCTCCAATAGATCTTCTTTGATCCAAGTCTGCAGCAAAGTCTGAGTCACAATATCCCTTGATGATGAACTCCTTTTGTTTCTTGAACACCAACTGTCTTTCTGTTGAGCCCTTAATGTACCTTAGGACCCATTTCACTGCTTGCCAGTGATCTCTTAGAGGCTTGCTCATAAACCGACTAATCATGTCAACTGGGTACGCAAGATCAACCCGAGTACCAATCATTGCGTACATGATGCTTTCTATTGCACTTGAGTAAGAAATATTCTTCATCTCGGCTTCTTGTTCCTTTAATTCCTTGTCCGTGGCAGACTTCAGTTTGAAATGAGCTCATAATGGTGTCGAAACTGATTTATACTGGTCCATTTTGAATGTGTCTAGCACTTTCATTAGATAACCTCCCTGAGACAACGACAGAGTACCCCTTTCTCTATCTCGACGTATCTCCATCCCCAAGATCTTCTTAGCTTCTCCTAAGTCTTGCATTTCAAATTCTGAGCTTAGCGATGTCTTGAGATTCTTGATTCATATCTTTTGATGCTATCAACATGTCGTCAACATATATCAGCAGATAAGTGTATGAATCTTTCTGATACTCCTTGAGATACACACAATTGTCATACCCGCTTTTCTTGAACACAGACTGAATCATGAAAGTATCAAACCTCTGATTCCACAATCTCGGGGATTGTTTCAAACCATACAAGGATCTTTTCAACAAACAAACCTTCTCTTCAGCTGACTCCACCTTATATCCTTCGGGTTGACTCATGAGAATGTATTCCATGCAAGAAGGCTGTCTTCACATCTAATTGTTCCAGTTTGAGATCATGTTGAACTACAATAGATAAAAGAAGCCGTATTAAAACATGTTTTACCACTGGACTGAAGATTTCTTGGTATTCCACTCCCTTCTTTTGTGAATAACCTTTAGCTACAAGTTTTGCTTTGAACCTTGATCCCTCAACTCCAGAAAAACCGGGTTTTCTTTTATATATCCATTTGCAGCCTATGATTTTCTTATTCTCTGGTCTTTTCACTAATGAGAATGTCTCATTCTTCTTGTGAGATTCCATTTCTTCGTCCATTGCTTCTTTCCATCTATCCCAGTCAGGATCATTCTGAGCTTCTTCATAAGTTCTCGGCTCTATCTTTCCTATGTCTTCTGTTATGAGTAGAACTAGGCCCACTGCATTTGATTCCTCATTATATCTTTTCGGTTTTCTGATCTCACGTCTTTGTCTGTCCCTTACCAACTGATATTTAGCAAGATCTTCACTGTCTTTAGAGTAAAACTCTTCTTCAGTATTTAAATCATGTTGGTGAGATTCATCATCCTCAAATGAATCTTCAAGTCTGTCTTGCGGTTGACTCCTTTCTTGAGTCTCTCCACCTCGGTTTGAATGCTTGCCAATTTCTCTTGCTCGAGGAATCTCCAGACTCGAGACTCTTTCTGTTTCTGTGAGCCTCTCCACCTCCTTCGAGCTGACATTCAAGTCCTTATAGACTTTATCCTCTTAGAATACGACGTTTCTGCTGATGGTGCATTTTTCCTCTTCCAAGAGCCATATCCTGAAGCCTTTAACGCCTGAAGGGTATCCGAGGAAAATGCCCTTCTTGGCTCTAGGATTTCGCTTTCCTTGATTGGTGTGGACATAAGCTATGCAGCCGAATCTTCTTAGTCCACTGTAATCAGGTAATGAGCTCGTTCATCTCTCTTCTGGAATCTCGAACTCTATAGCACTTGAAGACGATCTGTTTATCAAGAACACAGCTGTGGCTGCGGTTTCAGGCCAAAACTCCTGAGACAAGCCTGACTCACTTAACATACTTCTCACCTTGTTCATTATGGTTCTGTTGAATTGCTCAGCCACAACATTTTGTTGTGGTGTGTATGTACATGTGCGGTGTCTTGTGATCCCCTCTTCTCTGCAAAACCCATCAAACTCATGGTTACAATACTCCAATCCATTATCTGTCCTCAGTCTTTTAACTCTTTTTCCTGTTTGCAGCTCCACCATCCTTTTCCACTCGGAGAACTTACTCAATGCTTCATCCTTTTTCTTTATGAAATAGATCCACACCTTTCTTGTGAAATCATCAGTGAAGCTGATGAAGTATTGGCAGTTTCCTAATGAGCTTGGTACTGACGGTGAGCCCCGGAGATCTGAATGTATGTACTCCAACTTCTCCTTTGTAACGTGTTTGGCTGCTCCAAAGCTCACCCGATGTGCTTTTCCATAAACACAGTCCTCACAGAATTCTAAGCCATTGATTTTGCTCTGTTGCAGGCAACCTCTCTTGGCTAGAACCTCCATCCCCTTTAGACCCATATGGCCAAGCCTGCTGTGCCATAACTTGGTCTCATCTGAGCTTTCGAATATTGCATTTGCTTCTGCAATGATGGCTTTTCCTTTGAGTAAATACAGCGGGTTGGTTTTCTCAGCCTTCATCA